AGAAAAAAAAAAAAGAAAAAAGAATAAGAATAAAAAGAGGAAGAAAAAAATATATATATGAAATGAATGTAAACGGTGCCTGAAAGAAGTAGAAGGGGGAGGAAGAGAGAGAGAGAGAGAGAGAGAGAGAGAGAGAGAGAGATCGAATTTCTCTTTGGGCTCAATTTTAAATACGAAGAGGTCGCTGTTATGTGTGTGTATGAGCGTGAAAGGTTGCGACCGGTGACCGACCGGCCAATTGGATATTCCAGTTCTAAAACCAGAGAAAGAATGAGTGAGAGAGAGTTTGTAATAGGTGGTGGGGAGGAATAGAAGGGTTGGAGGGGAGAAATAGAAGGGCGCGTAGGAGGGGAGATACCACACACGTTTTGAAAATCGCCTTTATTCGTGTAAGCGTGCACGCAGATCGGCAGTTGTACGATGTTGTACGGAAGTGCTGACCGTGAAACGAAGTGCTTGAGGTCGTTGTCTTTTTCTTACGGGTTACTCTCTCTTTCTCTTTCTCTTTCCCTATCTTTTTGTACCCATTTATCCATATATTTCTCTCTTATCCTTCCTTTCCATTTTTCGTTTGTTTAACTTTTCTCTCGAATTATCGACGAAACAGAATCTTCTATTCTTCCAGATACATACGATTTTTTTTTCTTTCTCTCTCTTACAGTTGTATTTGTAAAAAAAAAAAAAAAAAAAAAAAAAAAAAAGTAAACGTGGTTCCGTCTCTTAAAATGGGTATCAAAAGTTTGAAGGTAAGACAAATAATATGTGATTGATTAATATGCAGGATTTTAGACTAAAAAAATAATTTATTCGTATGCATTAATCGATCGAAACGAAAGTTCTATTAATTTATTTTCTTTCTTTGAATATTATGTTATAAATGTGATCAATATGAGTATAAATAAGTACATGCATTATTGATAATAATTATAAATTTAATTAATTGTTAAACATAATCTTGATGGAAATTAAAAAAAGTAAAAAGAAATTGAAAAAAATGACATTTACAGAATTAATTTTAAAGAAGAATTTTAATGGAATTTCTCGTGTATGCATTCCTCATGTCGTCGTACAGAAACTTATTTTCATAATGATAGAACGATAAACGTAGCTGAGAAAGCAAATGAAAATTTATCTTCTATATGGATAAGGATTTTGTTGTTTATTTATGTTGAGATATAGCTCCAATTCCGGTTTTCAAATTATTTACATATGTTTGGAATATTTTTTATTATATATAAAAGAAGAGATCGTTAAAAATAATATTAAAATGCTATTATTCAATGAAAAATAATCAATGGACATTTTTTTATTATTTCGCTTAACATATTTTACAATTTAGATAATCTCTGCTTACATATCGTTTTTAACATCGGATTATTAAATTAAAGCCTATATATTTTGAAATGTAATATTCGAGTCACTATCAGGTATATCGAATAACTCCACTATCATTGGAGAATTATTCAAATGTAAAATACACGTTTTAAAGGTCTTCACCTCATCGTGGAATGTAGCTTGAATATTCGAAAGTTAATTTCATGCGAAGACACGTAAAAAGAAAAATATATATATATGTACATATAAATATGCGTATACGTTGAAATCGACAAGTTTAGTACATAAAGAATTTGATATCTATACTTTTTAGTATTATTTTGTTAAAAATTAATAAAAATATTATAATTAAATTAGTGATATTATATTATCTTCTTATAATTAAAAGATTTCACACCTAGAAAAGAAATATTTATTTATTATTTTCTTTTTCTATCGAAAATATTTCATAACGTGGACAAATCGTATAAACAAAAATTGAAGTTCTTCAAAATCATTTTACTAAACATTTATATGATAAATTTTTATCAAATTTGTTCTATTTGTTAATTTTTCTTTCTTTCTCTTTTCTTTGTTTTTTTTTTTTCTTTAATGACAAAATATTTATGACATTCATTTTTATTTTTTATTCTCTTTTGATTATTTTATAATTGTCAAGTTAATATCATTCATATGAATGATTCAAAAGATTCATATGATTAATTTAAAAGAAGTTAGATTCTCATTTCTACTTAAATTCGTTCTCCCGTGTTTTGTCTGTAAAAATGTGTACAAATAAATGAAATGTAAAATGTATATAATTTAAGTCTAATGGAGGGCATTGTCCGGATTTTGTACAGTCCGTGAAAAATTACAGCACAAGGATAATAACTATGCTTTATATTTTAAGTAGTAAATAAGAACAAAAAAGAAACAAACAAGAAAGAGAAAAATAAAATATGTAGAAAAACACAATAGACAAACATATGTATATAAACATGTGTAGCAATGGATAAAAGACAAAGTATGTTTATGACATAAAAATAAAAATCAGTCGGACGATATTTTCGATAACAAAACGAAAAAAAAGAAAGAAAAAAGAAAAAAAAAAAAAGAAAAAAAAAATAAGAACATCTGTCGTAAAAATAACAACGAATTATAAATGTCTATACGTATTATTTTATCAATATAAAATAATAATTGCCGATTGTTGGCAATGTGAAAGATTTATTATTATAGAATGTACTTACGACGATTTCGTCTTTTTTGAAAAAAAAAAAGGTCAATTCTATTCCATCGAAATATTCAATTACAACACCACTCTTTGTGATTCATGCATGCTTAACGTTCTTTATAAAGATGATATGTAGTAAAGTAGACAGACAAAGAGAAACGACGATTAGAATTAATATGATTTTATAAGGTATATTTGAATGGGACTACACTTAGTAAAGAGAGCACGTAAAAAGTTTTCCGCTTGTCTGTAGTATAGACTACTACAACTACGCATGCGCGTGGAACGATTGTTATTTTTAACTCATCCACCAGACAGCCATTCCGACTGGAGGCTCGTCCATTCTATAGCCAATAGAAAATCTTCATGAATTGGCACACCTATCTCGGACGCATCACTCGCACACAACTTTGAGTGTTTCGTGTCGGTTTGTTGTAATATATGCGTTACAAGGTCGCGGTGAAGGTGCATCAAAGGTGCACGCGTACTTTTATGCATAGACGTAATATTATCGTATGTTTACGTTATTGTATACGTCAATGAATACTATTAAAAAATACATCTTTCTTTTTTTTTCTATTTAATATGTTTATAAAAAATTGATTAAAACAATCATGCGACGATGTTAGTTATAGTGAGTTATTATACGAATATTATGTCTAACTTATGTGAGACATAATTTCTTAGGTGATTTTAAAATTCGATTTAAGATTCGAAAATTCTAAAGACTTTCTATAAGGCTTGTAATTAGGCTTGTAGTTTTACAATCTGCAAACAAAAATTAGCCTGAAAAGCATCGAAAAAGAATAATATTTAATTCTTAAAAACGTACTAGGAACTTATGACTCACTCTGTAGTTTCATTTGATATAACAAATAAAAATAAATCATATATATATATCCAATAAAATTATTAAATTATTACAATTATTATTATCATTATTAAATTATAATAAAATTAATATTAACGAAGTATAATGGTAGTAAATCTCTATAATAATTTATAAAAAGCTTTGTTATTTGAATTTAATAACGTATTACATATTTACAATATGGATAAACAATAACATTACTTTATTGTTCAGAATAAATATTCAAAAAAAATTCATATCATGTTTTTCTTTTTCTCTCGATAAACCTAAAGTATAAATTCCACATAGGTCAGTCTTAGAGATGCAATCTTTGATCAACGACAATAAATTAAATCGTATTATTATTATCTACATTATTAAGTCTTATGTTTCTGCTCGATAGTTTATTTCCCCCTACCTTCTTTGTTTTTATTTTTTAACGTTTTAAAGGAGAAAGAAAAAAATAATAATTAAAAATCTTCATGCTTTACATACCTGAAAAAAAAAGAGAGAGAAAGAAGAACATCTTTTCGATCCTTTATAAATTATCATCGATGTTAATGATAAATATTTTTTCGAATATTTAGAAAATATATTTTTTTTTCTATTTGTAATATAAATGTAAATAATACCTCGATTGGAAGAATCCATTATTATTGACTTGTATCATTAGTTGATGATTAATATCATTTGAATATATTCCAGTATATAAAATGAAACTGATAGGTATATATCAAAGAAGTAATGCGTATATTAAGTTCGTAACACACGTGAATCCCATTCTCATTGATTAGCTAATCGTTAAATTAGCGCGATGAAATGAAATTAGTATCATTTAGAGAAAGAATGTTATAAGGAAATTAATAAACGTCATTGCTACGCTGTTGCTCGTTTTATTAGCGTATGGGTTCGATCTACAGTATTTATAAAGAACATTTACCTGTGTGTGTATTATATATATATACATATATATATATATACATATATATGTATATATATATACATATATATGTATATATGTAAACTAACACGTAAGTTCATATTATTCAAGGATCACATAAGGCTGTTATACACGTGCGTCGATGAGAGATCAGTAAATAGAAGTGTAATATTTTATACGTGTGTTAGTATTAATTTTTACGTATCATCGTTGTTTGTGTTAGTATGTAGGCCAAGCTGGTATAAGAAAGCAGACGGGGGTACCGACCCGTCAGTCTTTAACACATATTTCAGTCTACTAAAGAAGGGAAAAAGTTGCGTGTGTAAGCATTTAAACATACCGTGCGCTTAATATTACATAGGAAAAAATTATCGGATTACATGAAGATATTAATATTACATTAACCGCGGAATAGAGGAGTGTTTTATTTCGAAAGTGAAATTATAACGAACTCTATATTAATTAAATAAACTATAACACTCTATATTAATTAAAATGCGACATTTTACGAAAACGGTAAGAGTTTTGTAATACGGCCTTATACACGTATATATATATATATATATATATATATATATATATATATATATATATAAAATATGTGCGATTATTATATCACTTATATCATTTACATATTATAATTCGATGTATTATTATTGCAGGGTCTCAATAGCCGATTAATTTTTGCGATCACAGCTGCTGTACTGGGATCATCGTTTCAACATGGATACAATACTGGTGTGGTTAATGCTCCTCAAGAGGTATAACAAATTTTTAATAATGAAACTATCACATATATATATACATGCACGGTTTAACTTCAGGGAATACACATAGCAAATATAAATAATGAAAATAAAACTTGTCAGCTTGATTAAAAGAATAGTCTTAATTCGTAAGAAAAATTTTTTTATTATTTTGCTGAACCCTATTAATAATAACTACATATTATGATATTATGACACAGTATATATAAATCGGGTTAAGTATGTTAATACGATCGTATGATGTGTTTCAGCTTATTGAAAACTGGATTAGCGAAGTAAAAATGAATAGGACTGGAGTGGTGACGAATCAATCCGAAGTAACGGTGATCTGGTCGATAGCAGTATCGATATTTTGCGTTGGTGGTATGATAGGTGGTTCATTGGTGGGTACGATCGCTGATCGCTTTGGTAGAAAAGGAGGTTTGATGTTGAATAACATACTCGTCCTATTAACTGTACTACTCGAGGGATTCACCAAAATAGCGAGAAGTTACGAGATGTTAATAATTGGACGTTTATTGATCGGTATCAACTCAGGATTAAACGCAGGATTGGCGCCTATGTATCTGTCTGAAATATCACCTATTAATTTAAGAGGTGCAGTAGGAACGGTTTATCAGCTTGTCATTACAATTTCAATCCTGGTGGCACAAATTCTTGGATTAGAAAAAGTAATGGGAACAGAAAATCAATGGCCTCTTTTGCTTTGTTTAACCGTGATACCAGCGTTGTTCCAAGTTATTACTCTACCATTTTGTCCTGAAACACCAAAATATTTGTTGATTAATAGAGGAAAAGATATGGAGGCACAGAGAGGTAAGAATATATTACTATCTGTCCTTCTATAGTAGTTCTTCCGAATTTGCTAATTCGTCATATAATTTAATCTGATAATACAAATTCTGAAATTTATATTGTAGCTTTAACCTGGTTACGTGATACCGTCGAAGTTCATGACGAGATGGAAGAGATGCGGGCGGAATACGAATCGATGAAACTCATATCAAGGGTTACGCTGAAGGAACTCTTCGTTAATTCCGCTCTTAGGATTCCGCTGATGATAGCCGTCATGGTTATGCTCGCACAACAACTTTCTGGCATCAATGCCGTTATGTTTTTCTCAACGAAGATCTTCAGATCGGCACAACTCGACAAGCCTGCTGCTCAGAATGCTACGTTAGGAGTTGGTGCGATGAATGTTCTCATGACGTTGATATCATTGATTTTGGTTGAAAAAGCAGGAAGGAAAACATTACTTCTGATTGGCTTCACCGGCATGTTCGTGGACACGGTTCTATTAACCATTTGTCTTGCATTTTCTGTAAGTATTTCACATTTATCAATATCATTACCTCATCAAGATATATTAATTGCTATCTTGTTATCTTTATCTATAAGTTTTATCATTTATCTTTGTAGGAGACATCACGTGTAGCTGCTTACTTCTCCATAATCTGGGTCATTCTATTTGTAGTATTGTTCGCAACAGGTCCCGGAAGCATTCCTTGGTTTTTGGTGTCTGAATTATTTAATCAGTCGGCACGACCCGCTGCTACCTCAGTAGCCATTGCTGTTAATTGGACAGCTAACTTTGTTGTCAGTATTGGATTTCTTCCTCTCCAAGAAGCACTTGGTGCTTATGTGTTTATAATTTTTGCCGCGTTACAAGGATTCTTTACCTTCTTTATTTATAAGAAAGTACCAGAAACGAAGAATAAAACAATAGAGGAAATTACTAGTATGTTTAGGCAAATATCCTATCAGTAAGAGAATAATACGCATTAGAGATTCATCAGTAAAAAAATTTTATGTGCCGATGTGTGGTTCTTACGGGAGAACATCCATCTGATAGATTAGTAATATTGCGTTAATTATTTACATCATTTTCATATTTTCATTCGATTTTCCATTTCGTATTATTACATCAACAAGTTTATATATGATGAACAAACATGACAAAAAAAAAAGATGTTCATTAAAAATTGTATATACCACTTGATACACGACAGTTAACAAAATTATATCATTATATATCGTTTCATAAAAAATAACTTCTTTTAAATGTATAATTTTATTGACAATATTCATTTTATACGTGTCACATATAAAAGCGCATCAATTAATATATCGTTAGATCGCGCACATTTTTATAAGATACTATTCTTTTTCTTTTATGATTATAAAATTTTTAATGAAACTTTAATTTAGTTCCTATTATCCCAGTGATTGTGTCAGTAGAAAAAAAGATTATCAATATTGTATAGGAGACTCGTAAATAGAAATCTGTTTTTACAAGAAGATACCCAAATGAAATATGCAAATGAATTTTTGTGCCTGCAAAGAATTATAATTCTAGTCATGAGAAGACGTTTGTTTAATATTAAATAAAAATAGCCAAAGGGGTCTTCTTTGAAGGAGAAACAAAAAAAATCAGTAAATTTCTTATTACAAAACCCTGTTTTTTGTGTATTTTTTATGAGATGAGTTTTCAAGATTGAGATTATTGTTCTAAAAAAGTGGTAGAGTACATTTTATCGCTAGATGTTAAGAAAATTACTAAACATGGAAGGATTTTTTGCCTTTAAAGTAGGTTCTTGCAGTAGGTGTGATATATTTATATAATTTGAAATATAATACAGAAAAGTATACATATTTTATTATAATGATCTTAAATGTTTTATCAAATAAAAAGAAAGGTTGACAAGAATTGTAAATATGGATGTAGATGTATAATAGGATTATAATAGGATCATAACTATAAATATCACAGAATAGAAAATAATTATATTTATGTATGCATGTAGTTTACTAATAGTTAAGAAAATTTATCCACTAGCATAATTATGTTTGTAATCTGTACACAATCATTATTCTAATGACATCTATACATATTAAATGTACCAAAGCATATTTCACTGAAAGCTAATCATTTTGGTAATTAAATGTAAGAACAGCATATGAATACATTCACTCTAGATATATTTATAAAATCAAATAATACTCAAATATAAATCATTTTTAGTATCGATACAACGAAAAATATTAAGAATTTAAAAGTGTGTGTACATGATTGCAACATGCGTTGAAACAAAGAAAATATATAAGTTACAATATATCTGATTTTAATTTATGAATTCTGCACAAAGGTATTTTTATTGTCATAACTCTCACTGATATCTCTTGAAAAATATATTATAGAAAAAAACTTCTTCATTCATACTTACAATTTAAACATGCATATTTGCATTTAATGGAACTCCTATTATAGATACAATATTATGTTTAATTTATACAATAGTCGGCATATTTTGTGGACTACTATGTAAAATAAAATAAATGTTAGAACATCCTTCAATCGTAATACAAGTCAGTGAGAAAATTAATTTATGTATATAAAGTATCCTAAAAAGTTTATGATCGTGATATATCATTTTGAATGAAATAAATTTCTTAATATAACGCATAAATTATTTATTCTGCACTTACTTTCTCTCATATTTCCTTTCAATTTCCTTTGTTCCGTAAAATATTAATAAATCTCTAAATGCATAAAAAAATCATATTATTGTATCAAGATAGATATATAAATAATATTGACAATTCTTTCTCTTTTTTATACTTCGAAGATAGGTAAAGAAGAAATTTAAATAAGAAAGTTAAATAAATCTCTTCACAGATATTTTCTCACATATTAATGTTCAAATAATTAAGAAATAAACTAATAAAAAAATTCAGTATGTGGTTTTGTATAAGTTGCAAAAACTATTTATTTAATGAAAAACTTATCAATTTGTTAAGACAAATTTACCGCTTGTTGCAGATCATTGAATCGACCAATCACGTTCAAGGGCTCATGCGCACGCATCCGATTTTCCTCATGTTGACATGTCGTAAAATAGTGATGGCGGGAAATCTGTTTGAGAATAATTGATCGAATCACCGTCAGATGGCAGGAGTGATTCCATGAAAGCGACCGCGAAAATGCGGTGTGCGGCTTCTCTTAGTCCGTCAGAGTAAACACAAAGGGAAACGAAACGGAGCGGCGCACCTCGTGCGCCGCCACACTCGCGACTCGTTCGCGGTGGACGAGCTTGATATCTGTTTCTTCCTTTCTCTTTCTTTTTTGCTTCATACAAAGATAAGCGGAGAAAAAAATAAGGTTCTTTGTCCTGATATATTGTACAGTGATCTCGCGCGTGTCGTTAGAAACGTTAAAAAGAAAGAGAGAGAAAGAAAGGAAGGAAGAGAGAGAAGGGAAAGGGAGGCGGAGGTGTATAACGTGGCACGCGTTCGATGGTGTCGGTGATCGACGAAATAGCTTAATGTGTGCGGGGTGGACGCGTGGTACGCTCGAGGCGTCCACAAATGATTACTGGAACCGAGCAGAAGGAAAATGTCAAACGCATTGCCGTCGCGAGGACTCGTGAACGGTGAGAATAACGAGCTCGGTGCTGCCGCTGCCGCTGCCACTGCTGCTCCCAGTGTCTTTCCTGGTCGTAGTGGTGGTGGTGATGCCGTTGATATTGTTTTCAATGGTTGTGGCGGTGGTGGTGGTGGTGGTGGTGGTGGTAGTGGTGGTGGTGGTGGTGGTGGTGGTGGTGGTGGTGGTGGTGGAGCTGGAGGAGGTAATGGTGGAAGGAGTAGTGGAGAAAGAGAAGAAGGAAGAGGAGGTAGTGGAGGATATGTCGTTACCGTTTCTACCGACGAGGGCGTCGTCGGCGTCGTGGATTTACACGACGCGAATTTGGATCCACGAGCGACGCCGGTAAATTTTCCTGAAATACGTCCATCGAGGGACGCGTCGTCACCGGTTCACGATTGCTACGCCGATGGCAACGCTGACGCCGCTCCTGAATACCGCGAAGTGTGCTCTCTAACGAACGTCTCGACGTCGTTGGGGCTTGACGGTGGTATCACGACGAACACTGTTACTGCTATTGCTACTACTACCGCTACTACTACTACTACTACTACTACTACTACTACTACTACTACTACTACTACTACTAGTACTACTACTGCTGCTGCTACTGCTATTGCTGCTGTTACTACTACCATCATCGCTACTGCTACTATTACTATCGAAACGAGTACAATAGCAACGACGACGACGACGACGACGACGACGACGACGACAACGACGGCGCTGAGGGTCGCGACGTACGACAACGACAACATGGTCGCGGCGATGAACGAGCACTTGTCCACCTCGTCGGCGACGAGCGGTGCACGCACGAGTGCTTCAACAACTACAACGACAACTAGTAACGTCGCCACGAGTAACAACAATAACAACAACAATAACAACAACAATAGTAGCTGTCCACGGAACGAATTCCAGAGTAACGTTGACGAGGAGAGTAAATCCGTCGCCGGGATACTCAGTTTTCCTTGCGATTTTGATCACATGTACGCCAGCATGACCGACGGTGGGACGCCGGCCGCAGCAACGGCGACCTCCGCTCTCGGTGTAAGCCCGTTAAGGGGTAACGAGCCACGTCAGAACGATCTCACCGAGGTCAAGCACCTTAAAGAATTGTTATTACTTCATTTGGATCTTATTCAACAACAGTCAGAGCAAATCGTCACAAAGGATAAACTCCTCGCTGCCCTTCGACAGGAAAATGAGACGGTACGTGGGAATGACATACTGCATTATTTTTATTCTTCGTTTTACCTTCATTCTCTTTTACGTCTTTCCATCGCGCTTCCTTTCTTTTTTCCCGCCTTTCTTCTATCTCCCCTCCTTCCTGTTTGGTCGTCATTCTGTCTCTCTTTTTCTCTCTCTTGTTTGCACGCTCTTTCTCTCTTTTCCTCTCCTTCTCTTTCTTTCTCTCTCTGTCTCTCTCTTTTTCGCTTCTTCCTTTCCTCTCCTTCTCTCGTATCAATTCCTTACGTCGCCGTTTTGACTCCATCTTGTAAAACGTGCTACATGGCGCGCACATGCTTTGAATGTCAGTTCTCTTCTTTCCACTCTATCCCTCCTACTTCTTTTGTTCTCCATTATCAAACTGTCCGTGAAGGTCGACCGTGAAGTTTCTACCACGTGGTGGCGCTACTTTGTCATACTTTACCGCATGCACACATACAACGATACACGTTGATTTGACTTTACATTGTTATCTTTAATTTCCACCGAATTTGGTCCAGTAAGAATGTCAAGTAATTCGAAGATGAGAATGATAATATTCATTCATATTTCAAATAAAGGAAGAAACGCAGCGCATCGCTTAAAAAAGTATATTTAATATTATGTTATTGTTTACATTTTAAATCATAATTCATTGTTGAAATTTTCAATATCTCTTATTAAATTTGTTAACTACTATGACCAAACAATTAGCCTTAACGCGTGAATATATTTTAATATTTTTGTTTTTTTATTGCAGCTCAAATTGCGTTTGGAACGTATGGACAGACGAGTAAATTTGCAAAAGCTAAGATCAGAAAGTAGTGAAAATTCTATTTTATCTGAACATATAGGTGCATGTTCTCCTCCCAGTTTAAACTCAGTGACTATACCATCAACCAGTGATATTCACAAAAGTATTCAATCTGAATCTAGTAATACGCAATATAATGAAAGTTTTAAAATACGCTTGAATACCAGTGGTGGAATTACTACGGTCAAACAAGAATGTAATGATAATCAAGGTAAGCATGAGAAACAGGACATTGGCAACGAATCTAGACTAGAGTGGGAAGAAAAGAAAAAACGAAGATCTGATCCAACGCCATTATCTGGTGGCATTAAAAGAAAAAGAGGAGTTTCTTGTTCATCTACGATTAGTAATGACACAACTTCGACGATACAGGATAAACAATTAAGTCATGAAAATAATCGAAAAACGGATAGAAAAGGAAAATCTCTTGTAAGAAAGGAATCGTTTTTAACGACAGAAGAACATTATTATACAGCAGTCGGTGATCCAAATTATACATTAAGTTTGAAAGAATCATCCCCACCAGATATTAATACTACGTTAGAAGTTCCAAATTGGAGAGTTAAAGTATATACTAGCTGTTATACAATGGAAGGAACGGAGAATCTTGATGATGAAATTTTCAACAAAAGGCACTTAAAATTAGAAAACGATGAAAGAAGAAGGAAAAGATGGGATGTACAAAGGATAAGGTATTTACTTTCTCTCTGTAGATTTTGTAATTTGATTTGTATTGAACTTATTATGTAATATGCATATTATTAAATTTCATATTTAATATTGTTTTTTTAGAGAGCAAAGACATATAGAAAAGTTGAAACAAAGGCAAGAACGACAAAATCACCAAGCTACTTGTTATAATACAAATCATACTGGTCCATGTCCATCAACAATGGAAGAGGAGGCTGTGACATCTTTGTGGCCTGATGTAGAACAGATACAAAGCCTTCAAGTGGATCATCAGTTGCCAGTTACTGCATTCGGCGCTCCTATACCTAGTTTTACTCCAAGGTAATGAAAGTAGTTAATTGATAGTAAAATATTTGCCAATGGTAAATATTACATCAATTTTTTATTTTAGTGAATTTTCCTTACCCTGGACTCACATGGTTCGAACAAAAAGTCGATGTCCTAAAAGGTCTACAGGAAGAAGAAAAACATCTAGGAGATAAACTTTATTTTGGCAAAATTTTTTTTTTATGCATCAATTTTAAACTCATTATTAATAATATTGACTCCCCACCACATTTTTTTACGTGTTATATTTTGCTATATAGAATGGAGGCACCAAAGACATTTTTATTATACTTATTTTTTTTTTTGTTTTTTTTTGTTTTTTTTGTTTTTTTTTTTTTTTTTTTTTTTTTTTTTTTAAATACATATACGATATACCGGATTTTAGATCATAGAACTTTTTATATCCTTGGCGATTCGGTGTTAACCGTGATAATTTCTATATATTTTGATTGTTAAATTTTGTTATAATTGGTGCCGGTTGTTTTATTTGTACTAATGTACTGTTAAGTTTGATAAAACGTTAATTGTCGGTAATGTTTATTTCGCATACCTGAAACTTGTCTAAAATTGTACAAAGTGATTACTGTACTATTTAAAATTACATTTATTTTTTGCCACTGATTGTATAAAGATTAGAGTAAAAAATGTACTAAGAAGATATAATGTTAAG